GCGCAAGCTAGATTCAAGTGATTATTACGTTTTGAATATGGATATGTGTGAGACACTTTTTTTTATGGATGGGCTCTTTTTATTTCACTTCTTTTGGACTGATGCATGCAACACCCGCTGAGTGGCATTAAACAGCTTGAAAGATCAAAGACCATTTTTAATATAACTCCGACTGGATTCGTCTGAAAGAAGAAAGTCATATACACCTAGGATGACTTGAGGGTGAGTAATTTATGGGCTAATATTCATTTTTGGGTGAACTAACCCTTTAATAGCGCGTAAACGCGCCTTGAGTTCGGTTTGCCTCAATCTCTGCAGCGGCTGACTGGTGATGTTTGGCGAATAACCACAAGGAGGCGCCATGGCCCTTCCTCGCGCACTAGGTAGGGTACTACAGCTCGCGGAGTTGTGAGGGGGTTTAATAGTTTGTGGTGACGTCAGCGGGCAGATCTGGGGTCTGCGCTGCGCGTCTCTGGATGAAACTCAGTGGCGCAGCAGGATATTTACCACTCTCTACCACACTCGCTGACTGTATTTCACCTGCCTTTACCTGCTGGACTAAACGCTGCCATGAATCTGTGCGCTGTTCTGCTGTTCCTCATCGCCAGGGTCTGTGCGGAAAGTCTGGAGGGGCCAACAGGTAAGACACGAGACTTTGATTACATACAACCATAGTTGTCCAAATGTATTTACTCTCACACAGTCTGTTCTGGGAATTACAGAACAATCAGATCGGATGCACCTTGATCTGACATGCATGAGCTGGAAAGTTTACATAAGTTTGATGGACGTTTACTTGAATTTATAACGGTAACTAGTTGATCTTGTAACGGCTGATCGATTTAGACAGTTTAACACAGAATATTTGTAGAAAGAAAAGAGATAGCAGGATGGAGAAGTGCTGAGTTTTTATAATGTAAATGTTATTATTATTATTTAGGATACTCGCCCTCATGTTGTTCCAAAAACCGTATGACTTTCTTCTGTAGAAGGCAAAATGAGATGTCAGGCAGATTGAGAGTCTCAGTCACTATTCACTTTCATTGTATAGAACAAATTTGCAGTGAAAGTGAATGGTGACTGAGACTGTCAGTCGCTAATGTTCTGCCTAACATCTTCTTTGTTTACTATGGGGAAGAAAGAAAGAAGGACAGAATATGACAGAATATTTGTTTTTAACCATTTAAGAAACTGTAAGTTTATTAGTGACCTAATAAAAAAAAAGTAATTATAATATGTTGTGATCAGAAGTCAATCTATTCTTTGTTTTGTGCATTTTGCGGTATGAAGTTGACTGTCTGTTAGATGATCCATCTACTATTTACTGCTAGACAAATCTGTTTATTCATTCATGGATTCGTGTCTCTTATAGATCAAATCTAGTATTTCATTTTAGCGGAGACTCGGGGAGGAAAGGAATATGAAGAGCTATGCCCCGAGGATCTGCTTCTGTCACACTCCTGTATATCACCTCTGTATTTACATTTTTTCTGCTTGTTTAAAGTCTCTTGCTTTCGCATTCCTGACATCAAATATGATCGCTGTAGCTGCTCTGGCGTTGCTTGTCAGGTCGTGTTGTAGTCTGAGGAAGGATTTTTGAGCTCCTGGATCAGTTTCAACGCTGTACCCAGCAAATAAATGTGTGAAGACTGTTAAACAGCAAAAATCCATCCATCCATTGATTCCTCACTTGTCCTGTGTAGGGTCATGGGGATGCTGGAGCTTATCCCAGCATCTTGGGCCAAAGTGAATGAATAAATTTGATTAAAGAGACCAATGCAAACTACATTTATAAATTCAACTGGACTAAATGAACTGATCTGAGTCTATTTGGTGGCATTTATATTTTGTCAGAGTACATGTTGGGCTGTTTACTGATGGTTTTCGGAAAGCTTACTGCATGTGTTGCGATGTTAAAGTCGATTTTTCGGGTGCCTTTGAAGCATCCTACATAATGTCAGATTACGGCATCACACACAGTGGGGTGTGTGGGAGGTAATGAGACCTGAGTGCAAGTTCACTTCACTGACACTCTGACAGTGTGTGTGTGTGGGCATGAGCTGGAAAGTTTACATAAGTTTGATGGACGTTTACTTGAATTTATAAAGGTAACTAGTTGATCTTGTAACGGCTGATCGATTTAGACAGTTTAACACAGAATATTTGTAGAAAGAAAAGAGATAGCAGGATGGAGAAGTGCTGAGTTTTTATAAATCTTACATTTTTATTCATTGGTGATTTGAGATTCGAGTGTATTTATTTGGATCTTATTAACATTAATCTCTGGCGTATAAAAAAAATCTTTATTGTTCAGGTAATCACGTGAAGACTAATATTAAATTATGACAGACGATGTTGCTTTCTGAATGTTTGGATGGCGTTAGAAGTTTAAATTAACTTAAATATCGGCTTGGCAGTATAATTATGAAGCTGTAGGCTATTTCATAAATGCTCAATCCATCAGTTTATATATATATATATATATATATATATATATATATATATATATACACAATATGAAGAGCTATGCCCCGAGGATCTGCTTCTGTCACACTCCTGTATATCACCTCTGTATTTACATTTTTTCTGCTTGTTTAAAGTCTCTTGCTTTCGCATTCCTGACATCAAATATGATCGCTGTAGCTGCTCTGGCGTTGCTTGTCAGGTCGTGTTGTAGTCTGAGGAAGGATTTTTGAGCTCCTGGATCAGTTTCAACGCTGTACCCAGCAAATAAATGTGTGAAGACTGTTAAACAGCAAAAATCCATCCATCCATTGATTCCTCACTTGTCCTGTGTAGGGTCATGGGGATGCTGGAGCTTATCCCAGCATCTTGGGCCAAAGTGAATGAATAAATTTGATTAAAGAGACCAATGCAAACTACATTTATAAATTCAACTGGACTAAATGAACTGATCTGAGTCTATTTGGTGGCATTTATATTTTGTCAGAGTACATGTTGGGCTGTTTACTGATGGTTTTCGGAAAGCTTACTGCATGTGTTGCGATGTTAAAGTCGATTTTTCGGGTGCCTTTGAAGCATCCTACATAATGTCAGATTACGGCATCACACACAGTGGGGTGTGTGGGAGGTAATGAGACCTGAGTGCAAGTTCACTTCACTGACACTCTGACAGTGTGTGTGTGTGTGTGTGTGTGTGTGACAGAGGGTCTCTCACTGCAGTAATCCAAATGAAAGTGAGTGGGCATTTCAGAAAATGCGTTCAAGGACACAGAACGGTTGCACACTAGGCACTGCCAGGTTTTAAAGGAATAGTTCACCACCAAAAATGTCTTTAATTCTGTCGTTATAAACCTGCATGCTGTTATTTTTTTCCTGTATTTTGTTCATACAATGGCATAGTTACCATGGCTGTCAAGCTCCAAATAAATACATCAATACATACAATGCATACCATGAAAGTGGTCAGTAGGACTCCGTATTCCAAGTCTTCCAAAGCCATATGAATGATAATTTCCCCCTTTTCATTTTAGCTCTGAAATCTCATCCTTCATTCCACATATTCGAAGGCACATGCATTCTCGCATTGATTTTCCATTTGCGTTTGGTGTCGGAGACATCAAAACTGGCAAGTCCTGCCAGTGTGCTACTTTTAATTTTATAGTTTTAGTTTCTAGTTTTTGTCTATAAACAACAACTAGGCTTGTTCCTCACCACGCTGACTTGGAATACATCAAACAAGTCGTCATCTCTTTAAATTCCATGGGAACAAATACCATCATAGGGGCTTGGAATGACATGACTGGGCTTGGAGCAAGTAAATCATGATAGCTTTTTGCTTTTTGAATGAACTGTTCTTTTAATAGCTGAACATGCTGTGAGCTCTTCCCTGTGAAGCACGTACAGTTTGCTCACTCGCATATTTCTGCTTTGATTTACACTTGTGATGCAATACCATCTATTGCTCTGTTTTACTGTCTTTTGACATTTACAGTTGAAAAACACACGATAGGCCTTTACTATATCAAACGAGTAAAATAGTTATCTGCTTTTTTGTCGTTGTTCTCTGGCCACTTCTATTTTTGCTTGTGATGATACTTTTGCTACTGAAGAAGGCATATCAATTAAAGGAAGGCTTTTCCTGAATGAAGAGATGAGTAAATTACTGTATTGTTCAATAATGTGTCAGATATATGTGTTTGTTACCTGATCCTTGGGAAATCTTGATTGCGATTTGGTCAGTGGTGACAATGTGCAGTCAATCTTCCCACAGATTAGAGTAATTTGCTAACACTTTACAGTAAGGTCCAATTAGTTAATACATTAACTATCATTCATTAACAGTGAGCAATCGATTGGTTACAGTATTTATTAATCTTTGGTATAAGGTTAACAATGACTGAGACTCTAAACATTCCCAAATGCAAGTCTAACCATCTACCCATCCATTTCTACACAACTTTCCTTGTTTAAAATAAACAGCCCCAAACTCAGGCCATTACTTGAGACAATGTAAGGCCAGTTGGGATGTCCCAGAGTTTACAGTTTTTCAGGGAAATCAATAAGCAGACATATCTCTGCACATTCAGTTGTGATGGGAGAAAGTATTTTAACATCAAAAAAGTCAGCTTTAGAACCTACAAAATCCAGGTTAGCTGCAACAATCTTATACAGTTTTTGCATGACACTGAGATACAGAGATAGTGATAGATAGGTAGAAAACTACAGAAGAATGAATTGCACTAGAACAGTGTCCTGAAACCCCAGCAGCCCACCAGAGTCAGCAGAAAAAGCAAGAGTAGGTGGTTGATATTATGAAGGAGGGCAGCAGAGGGCAATCGCTGGGCTATTCATTCTCTCAAACGCTTTCACTCTGTACAGCCGCATTGCTGTCTTCAGAGGCTTTGAAGACATCGCACTCACACTGCGCACAATTTTTCAATTTGTTGTTCAGATTATATCATTAGAATGCCTGTTGAAATTGAATCTTCGTTTGGGCAGTATTTTGAATATTTAGTGTAGCTACGTCAGCTGACATAATTTGAGCAAGCAAGTAAAATGCATAATGGAAGTGCTCTATCTATTCAGCAAGGATGCATTAAGTTGATCAAAAGTCACAATAAAGACACTTAATGTTACAAAAGATAACTATATCAAAGAAACGTGGCTCTTTTGGACTTTCTATTCATCAACAATTCTGAAAAATAAAATGTATCACGTTTACACTAAAACATTGAGCAGAACGGTTTTCGACACTGGTAATTAGAAACGTTTCTTGAGCAGCAAATCATAATATTCGAATGATTTCTGAAGGATCATGTGACACTGATGACTGGAGTAATGATGCTGAAAATTCAGGTTTGCATCACAGGAATAAATTAAATTCTAAAATATATTAAAAAAGAAAACAGTTATTTTAAATCGTAATAATATTTCACAGTATTACTGTTTCTACTGTTCAAATAAATGCAGCCTTGGTGAGCAGAAGAGACTCCTTTAAAGACTTTTTTGTTTCTCTTAAAAAAAAAAACAATCTTACCAATCCCATGCTTTTGAACAGTAGTGTGTGTGTGTATATATATATATATATAGTTCTATCAAACCTTTACAATTAATCCAGAACATGGCAGCAAGATTAATTTTTAACGAGCCGAAAAGAATGCACGTCACACCTCTGTT